ATATGAAATATATACTGTTCAATATTAAAATGTTTTATTATTTCACAAAACGTACGACTATGAATTAAGCAGCAATAGATAAAATTACTTCGAAAACAAAATCTTTTTATATGCATATGCTTTTTCGCACTAATTTTTACAAAACTTAATCTTAGATAATTGTTTGGAATGGGATGGATGGGAAAAGTAATAAAACAACATTTGTAACACTCCAATTCAATTTTCATGATTGAGATAATTCAAGCGTCACAATTTTTATTAATATAGGTAATAACTTTAACCATTTTTTTTTATTTCCTTTTTATTTTACCAGATTTTTATTTAAAATATATAAAATATATATAAATATTTTATTCTTTTTATTTCTCTCAATCTTAATTAATTTAATGTATATTCATCTCCCCGTTTTTATCTATATTTTATTAATATACATTTTCTATTTTTTTATTATATTTATATTACTATTTTCTATCATTCTATTTTTTGTATTCCAAGATTTTCTTTACTTTTTTTTCTATTTAATCATATAAGAGAATACCATGAGTCAATTTAAATAACTGTAAAAAAATGAACATATTTTAATCTTTTATAGCTTCATTTAATCTCTTAACTTACGTTTAATTATATGTTCATATTTTTAAAAAAATATATGATTGTATATTTTCAACTAATAAACGTAAAAATTCAATCAATTTTTATGTACTTAGATTCAATATTAATAAAAAAATATTAAATGATCACAATATAAGAGTGAATAAATAATCTATTATATCCTCATGGTATTCCTAATTTCTTAAAAAATTTCGCTTTCATACAAAATTTATATGCATTCGAACATATTCGTATGCACATAAATTATACGCACAATTATATTCAACAATAAATAAGAAGCATCCAAGATTAAGTTGATCCTAATCTGTTAAAACTTATCCATTTTAAGGCAATGGATGTATGGAATATTAAGTTCTCAACTATTAAATTTGTATATTACTATTATTAAATTGATATATGCTTGTGTATCTAAGTATAAATAATATATTGATAAAATTACCATACATCCATTACCTCAATAAGAACATTGATTTATCACTCACCGATCCGATGCGCAACAGCAGAGTTACATCTGCAACGTCGCTACGATGATTCTGTAACAAAAAAATATATAATCCAAATTAAAACATAATTATAAATTTTATAAAAGGATCTTAAGAACATTATTATAAAATTTCAAATTTTAAAGCAATCCTTTTTTTTTAATTAAATACTAGTATTTTTAAATTATTGTAAAGTAAAACAATTTAAGAATAAATTGAGCAGAGATATCGATTTTACATAAGTAAAAAATAATATTTACCGCAAGGTTGCTCCACCGGTGCCCGATGCCTCTCCCGGTCCTCCTCCTCCTCTCAGATTTGGGTTGACATCCTCTCGCACTGGTCACTCGCGTAAAACACTCGCGAATAGTACACTATAATCGCGCGCGGACTATAATTTTTTCAAAGTCTTTCGCGCGACACTGTCGTTTTCCGGGTTTACAAAACCCACGATAGGATTTCCATTTCGGTCGGTGGAATCAACACCACACGTCGACGAGTACTGCGAAACACACGGTTGTTGCCGAACAAGGGTTAAGCCCCACACGATAGAAGACGTAATCGATCGTATCGAGTTCATCACCTCTGATTTAAACAAAATCACGTTTAAAATTGACTCAGCCATACGCCCTAACTATCATTTCGTCGTGGACACAAAAGGTGCTGTACCTCGTGTGATAACACTCGGCTAGTAGACGTGACGAGCGCCTCTTGATTTATATCAAGATTAATTGATAACAAGAGAAAAGTTGGTACCGATTGCCGATTCTAACAATCTAGACAGTATCGGAAATAGGATCCAACCCCTCGTCCCGAGCAGACCATAAAGATCAACAGCTAGGTTCTGACCAAGTCAGATTAAAGCGATTCAAACGGATATAAAGCAGAGAAATGAGCGCTTTTGGGCGACCCAGAGATGAACCCGAGGGACAATCGATCGCTTCTACCGCTAAGGGCCGAACCGTTTGCCGGCAGACGGAGCGTGTCCTCTATCAGTCGAAACCGCGCGAACACAGCACCCTGTGCGAAGTGCGTGACATGTACGCGGCCGACATCACCTCGTGCTCGGGCACTCGGCATGAGAGTTGCAATGACCACCAATGGTGGCCACACGTGCAGCAACGTCTCAAAGAGAGTTCCGTTTCCTGTCTTACTGTTGTAGATGTGATTCCATCGACCGTCGAAACGGATCTCCATCGAATGGGTATTGTGAAAAGTCCAATTAGTCCGATAATCATTTCAACGGCACTCCCGAACGGCACACGCGACGCGACGAACCGGCTGCGGTTCGTTTATATTGAATTAAATCGGCGACGAGGGTACGTTGGCTTCCCCGTCGTTGGATTTTTACACGAAGAAAACGATTTTACTCAAGTATCTAAAAATTTATCTAGATATGTATCATTCAGATAGATCCGAAAATTTTCAGATACTTTAGGAAAATCGTTTTACTTCCTCGTGTACATCCTCGGGGTACTGAGCCCTCTCACCACGTCAAGGTCGTACCCGTGAGAGGGAAGATATTTATTATATGAAATTCTGAAAAACGTATTATACATTTATTATCTATCAATAATTATCAGTTAACTTTTAAAAATGAATCTTAAATACACATCAATTTGTCACGAAATAAATTAAGAGCAGATAAAAGGGTTGGATCTCTTATTATGATACGTAGATATCATAAGGGTCCATGAAATGGGCTAGAAATTAATAAAGACGAGTAATATTCCTTTCATTATCGACAAATAGTTCCATAGTTACGCTCAAGTTTTTATACGGATTATATGACAAAAGATGCGATTTAATTGTAAACCATCAGACAGAGAGAGAGAGAGAGAGAGAGAGAGAGAGAGAGAGTATTAAAAATTGAAATATAATATTGGAATGTTACAAATACTTCACGTAAATGATTATGCAAAAAAATCATACTAGTGAAAACCATTTTTTATCGTCTTTTGTCAACACATAAGTTAATGCGAATTATTTAAAATTATAAAATAAATGTAAAATATGTTCTTCGGTGTACCAGGATATTATTACATTATCATATTAAATAAATACGATTCGTGCTGTTAAAATTAATCTACTAGAAAATATCTCATTAATTCTGCGATAAAATACTAATTGAATTTCACTGTGTTTGAAATAATTTAAAGTCAAATTATTATTATACTAATATACAATTTAGTCATATTAAAAAAATAATACAAAATAAAACAGAATTGAAGAGCTAAGTGCCAGTAAGCTTTTTCTCATGACAGTCGAATGGTTTAAATATTCGTCATACCAGTCAGCAGTCGGGAGTATTTAAAATAATTTTATTTAAAATATATATTTCAAATATATATATATATATCCTATGTATATGTATTTAATATGTATTTAAATTATGTAAAAGCAAAATGTGTGAAGCAGTTATTTAACATTTCTCATTTTAAAAAAACTTTTTCTGTCTTATTTCTTATTTAATATTTTAAGTATGTTTTTCGAATGTAAAATACAACGTTTAGTATTATCTTTTATAGTGTTTGTCACAAAAATACGTTTCAGAAAGAAATGTTAATTAGAGCGGTACAGTTACCTACTTACACCGAGCAGCGGTAATGGAATGACTGCTCGCCACTCGGTGTATCGGTGAGCCGGGTGAGCGGGGGTGCGACTGCCCTTCCACATCAAAACAATTCCCAAGGTTGCTTTCACTAACCGTCTAATATTAACCGTCGAAATATTCATTAACGCGCTCGCGTATTACTAAATAATTAAAATTCGTCACATTTTTACTGTTCTCCGATAATTACAATTTATTATACGATTGTTGCTTTATTTCTTACATTTGTTTCGCACATACACGGCTCTTGATTACTTCATCTTTAGATATTTCAAATGTTATAATAAGTGATTATTAGTTTACAATATAACTTTTTATTACACTAAATCCGCATAATATATACGCAGTATTTTAACTAAAGATTGACGTGCATTGTGCCCTTTGTTACTTTTGAACTGTTTAATTTTTATGTCTTATTCCGCATTCTTTATCCGAAATAGAAAAATACGTTATATTTGAATTTTATACATATATGTTTGAATGTATACGAATGCTGTTTATACACATTATTCTATTTAGTCCAAATTATTTCCAAAATTAAAAAATGTTTTTATTTATTTTTATTAAAAAAATGTATTACATATCAACTTTTAATTATAAATTATCAGAGAGAGAGAGAGAGAGAGAGAGAGATTTATAAAAATTAAGATACAATATGTGTTAGGATGTCAAAAACATTTAACGTGAACAGTTATGCAAAAATAAACCGTGCTTATAAACTAATGCTTATTTTAAGTATCTTTAATTTTGTTCAATAGCTGCATGCAAACTTCAAGATAAAATAACTTCGTCAAAAATCGTCGAATCGAGATGTTTAAAAAAGCATTTTGAAGCTTGAAATCTCGACTTTTCAGACTGGTACTTCAAAAACCTGATATTTCGTGAAGTTACACAAAAATAAATAAAAGTGCGTCAAACCTAAAAATTTTTTACGAAGTTTGAAAAGTTCCAACGCACGAAATAAAAATCATGCACAAATGCGGTTTACATCATTCGAAAGAGCGAATCTTTATCTTTGATTAATTTTTTTACGAAGTTCCGTACGATTTTTTTCACCGAGTTATTCAACGTTGTAGTATATAAAAAGGTCATTTTTTCCTTTTTCATTTTCACTCAGAAAAATTTTAATGCACAACTTTTCTCACTCAAATGTAGTCTTTCTAGCAGCTTGATTTGACACGTCAAACTGCTTGGAGGAAGAGAGAGGGGAGGGAGCAGAGAGAGAGAGACGTATTTTTAAGGCTAGAAATATAGATTACTGCATTCTATTCCTAATAAAATGATTTCTTGTACAGGCTCAGTCGGACGATGACGATGTGGCGGACGACGTGTCCGTTAACGTCGGGGCGCCAGATGACTTTATGACGGAATTTTTCGCGGAGGTGAGTGATGAATTAATTTTTTGCCTTTACACATTTATTTCCAACGCTATTGTGGCGCAATCGAAAGTATGAAAGAATACCGACAATAAAAAAAGTAGAAGTTAAACCAGTATTAGCAAGATCATATCGGTCTTAAGGGGATCCTGTAAAGACGATATTAGTCATATTGGAAATATAATAGTATAACTTACACACAGACGATTACGTGTCATTGATACATTATTACATCAATATATAATATTATTCACACATGCCACATATACATAAATTTTCGTATCGTAAATTTGACAAAATGTCAACTGTGTTAACTTGGATGTGTGTTTTTCCAGGTGGAGGAGATCCGCGAAATGATAGATAGGATCCAGACAAACGTGGAAGATGTGAAGAAAAAACACAGCGCCATCCTCTCCGCGCCGCAGACCGATGAGAGTGAGTTTAATTTATCATCTTGTATTATATACTTATTTCATTTCTTATGCGAAATATCGTCCATGTATCCTCGCGGCTGCAACTGTAAACTCGATTACGTTCCGCAGGTAAAAAAACGAAATCGTGTTCAACGTGAAAATATCTGTTTTCGGAATTTTCCGATTATATAGAATGGTCAATCTGATGATTAAATTAATTAATAATCAGCTTGATTAAATATTAAAATTGTGTGTTAATTCACGTATCTGTTCTATATGTGATCGTGAAGTCTTTTTTTTTATACAGTTTCAGTATAAAATACATTGTAAATTTCATTAATATAAAATATTCGGAAAAAATAACTTACGTTTTTCGTCAAATAAACGGATATGAGACGATTACTGTAAAGTTTAATTTTTTATAGGACATCGAAAATTAATCCATTAACGTGCAGAAGGACAACATCTTTTGCTTGAGATTTCAAGATAATTTTTAATACAGTAAAACATGAAATATTTCAACAAAACTTGGCATCCTAAGGTTTTGAGAGTTGCTCTTTAGAATTGTATTTCGTACGTGTGGAAATTAAATATGGCGGTCGGAAAAAAATGAAAAAGTAAATAGTTTTGTACTTTAAGACTCCACGATGAAATTTTTGAAATCCATCATGGCGGATCCAAAATGTCAGCCAAATTGATAAAATCTTGAAAATTTGGTGTTTTCTCGTACAATTCCATCAAATTTGAATTGTGTGCAATTTGTTAAATGTATCACAGATCTATGAGATCTATATTTTTTATTATTTATTTATTTTATCTTAAATATTTACATATATATTTTTACATTATTGTTTACTGAGATTAAGTTGCTCAATGAGGAATACGTTACAACACAGTTTTGCTTTTCACAAATCGTCGAAGAGACACTTAATACAACCTATTTCAGATTTTAAACAAAACTATCTTCTCTATCTTTTCTGGCGCATTAGAAAATTGAACTTGAGATCCTTGGCACATAAATAATTTTTCGATCTCTCAATTTCAGAGGTGAAACTAGAACTCGAAGATCTGATGTCTGACATCAAGAAAACCGCTAACAAAGTGAGGGCTAAATTAAAGGGTAAGTTATTACAGTTCGGACAGTAACACGATGATATGTGTTAAATTGATCGATCCCTTGCGATCGTTGGGAGTATTTTGCAGTGCCACACCCGAGTCTTGTTTGCTATGTTTAGTGATAGAGCAAAACATCGAGCAAGAGGAGCACACCAATAAATCGTCAGCAGATCTGAGGATACGCAAAACCCAGCATTCGACGTTGTCTAGGAAGTTTGTCGAAGTGATGACGGAGTACAATCGAACACAAACCGATTACAGGGAGCGGTGTAAGGGAAGAATACAACGACAGCTCGAGATCAGTGAGTATACGTATGTCACGATTGAGAGACCACATTGAAACCTGAATGCTTATTCGAGTAGAATAGCCCTTTCCAATCTGTTGTCACATCGAGTCTATCTCGAAATATGTGCTCAATCTAATGCTTATGTTTGTTTCTATTTGAGGAAATACCGGGAGAAAGTATACAATAGTTGTTGTTATATCAAAAGTTTTTTTTTCGAACCTAATTACATTTTGTTAGTATTATATTAAAGTTTTCAGTTTACTAGTTTACTATTTTTATAATTTTCTTACATCTTTTAATACTGTAATGAGAAGGCGATTATGTAATATAAGCTTATAATCGTAAATGTGTAAACAATAATTACGTCAATGAGATCAGTGTTTATCATATATAATATCGATATTTATTATCCAAACAATCATTTCGTTCGTCGAATAAATAATAGCGGTAGCGACTTGATTGATTGCATTCGCAAAGTTAAGTTGTGTCTATTTGTGAAACGAAGGAATTTTTGTTTTTAGCGGGGAGAACAACCACCAATGAAGAACTCGAGGAGATGCTGGAACAAGGGAATCCAGCCGTCTTCACGCAAGGGGTACGGATTCAATAATTTTACTCTTGTGTTGCAATCTTATTGGTAGCTACGTGAGAAGCGTTAATAAATTTTTTACTGATTAATTTTGTTTTAGATCATCATGGAGACGCAACAAGCAAAACAGACCCTTGCGGACATCGAGGCGCGTCACGCTGACATCATCAAGCTCGAAAACTCCATCAGAGAGTTGCACGACATGTTCATGGACATGGCCATGTTGGTAGAAAGTCAGGTAAGATTGAAACAACTTTATGTAAATTTATTCCGGAAACAGTTTATACCTGCTTAAACAATCGATATTTTTACTAGTGTTCTTTTTTTGTATAAGAAATTTGTTCAATAAGGTATAACGATTTTATATATATATTTCATTATTTTTAGATAACATTTTTCTCTCTTAATTTCCTTTGATTGAAACACATGAAAGAATAATACTCTGTTACAAGATACATAATTTACGTGCGAATTGCATATGTTATTTGTCGCAAATATTGCAAACATATTAAATATATTTATTATGAATATTGATTTGCTATACAGGATCTGTGAACAGTGTGGAAATCCCTTAATGTTTTCGAAATTACGCATTCTTGAGAAAAATGTTGAAATAAAAATTATAAGGTTTAAAAAAATCTATTTACTGATCGCATCGGTTTGATCTTTGATGGTGTCGCTAAGATCAGGTCAAGATTACATTGATTTTTTTAAATCGAACACCCCATAATTTTATGGTATTGTTTTTAAATCTTTCTTATGTACACATTTATGAAATGTACATATCTTGCAACTGTGAGAATACAAAAGTTTAAATAAAATTAAATTATTCAGGGAAGTCTCAATACCGCCATATCGAAGTACAGAGTTGAAGCCGTTGGAAGTTAGAGTATATTTATGTTATGTTACCACTGGAGAGAGAGCGGTCCAAATATTGCGGCGTAGGGAGTACGGATAGAAATCCAAGTGATGATAGGAATCTGGTGGTGGGAAGTTCAATGTTGCTTCTTTTTATATATAGGACTCTAGTGATCAGTAAATAGATTCTTTAAACCCTACAATTTTTGTTTGAAACATTTTTTTCAAGAATGCTTAATTTCCGAAATATTAAAAGGTTTCCATAGTTTTGATCAAGTCGGATTAATTTGGATGAGAATTGTTTTCGTAAATACAAATATATATTTACCAGAAATTTATAAATCGGTTAATATAAATTTAATTTTTTTAATATAGTAAATAATGAGTTGATACATTCGAAGAAAAAATATAATAAAAAGAGAGAAAAAAATTTAGTCTAATTAAAAAAAAAAATTCATGTAGCTTAGACAGAAAATTTTTCTCGTAAACATTTTAATATATTTGTTATAATAAATTGAACATCAAAATATTATTAATATTTTTAGTAATAACACATTTTATATGTAAAGATGATTTGTTTTAAATGTGTTAAATGAATAATATATATAGTTTGTTTTTTATTTATTTATTTAGCGTGAAGAAAATCTGTTTGATGTGATTTTTTAATTTTCAAGCAAAGATAAAAAAAAACATTTTTGTCGAACTTTGTCAGATACACGTTTCAATTTATTTTTCAACTCAACCTATAAATTTGATTAACGAATGAGATGCTTTATTGCGAGATGCTTGAGCGGCATTATTTTTCGCAATTTATTGCATATAGACTATATGGTATATTAAGTAGTTCATTTTGTCGATTTTAATTGATATTATAATTTGAAGAGTATATTCTCCTCAATTATTAGATAAGGGCAAAAATTCATGTCCGATTTATTATTTAAAATTCAAACGGTTGTAATTTTGTTAAAAATAAACAAAATTTAAATTTAAAAAAGGGTGTTAAAGAAAGGACTCTATTTTTAAAAGATTACTATGTTTCTTGAATGTCTGAGAGTTTAGTAATTTTTACTTATAGAAAACTCTGAGTTTTAAACAAGACGGGAAAATTTCTCTTCATTTTGTGGTTCTGTCACATATCTAAAAAATTTGCAAAAGTTTTTGAATTTCTAACGTAAGAAAGCTTAAAATTTTCCCTATAAAAAAATTATTTTTAAAAATATCTCTACGATTTTTTATTACTAAATTATTGCAAATTAAATAAAAAGAACATTTTGACATTGAGTGCTCATGACTCTGTCAAAATCATTGCAATAAAAAAAACCAGATTCTTAAATATGTTGTATTAGGTAGAGCAAAGTTTCGGATTAATTTTATTTTTAACAAAATTGTAGCTAAAATTTTATGGTTAATAAATCGGACACGAACTTCTGCACTGATCCAATATATTATTTTTGTATTAGTTGTCCGCGATTGCTTTAATACATCGATGATCCGAAAGCAATTAGGAGCGTAGCGCGACGCAGTGTAACAACTTCTTTTCTTTATTGACCCGTATCATATGACTACGTTTACTATCTGCTAGTTAAAGGGAAATTTTTCAATGCACTAAAATCTCAAATTTTTTGAGGAAATTTAATTATTTATAATTAGATTTCGCTCGTGTTTTACAATGCAAAGTATAAAGAAACGACGGTCTGAATGAATCTAAGATGAATAATCTGATCGTAAGATTATTCATCTCTATAACTCTGTAACATCTTTTAAGAATCGCTGAAGAAGGATCTGTGAGTTCCGAAACGTTCGATTTTACTATATTATGTTTTTTTATATTCTTATATTCTTTACTTTTTTGTCATGCTAACATTGTACTATTAAATTATTTTATACAAAAGTACTTTATTACCGCTCGATTCAGACCGTCGTTTCTTTATACCTAATTATTTATTGTAATTATTACTTGTTTTTTTTTTATGTCTATTTAAAATTATTCCATGAAAAATTGGAGGTTTTAGTTTATCGCTTTCTTTCTATGTATATTAATAATTAAATAATAGTAATAACAATAATAATATTATTAATTTTTCTTTGTTGTGATATTGTTTGTCCAAGTTTAACGATCTTTTTTTTTGCACATTGCGACAAAGTAATTATCGCAGTAGCTCACTTTGATAATTTATAATATATTCACTAATTGTCCTTGTAAAGAAAAATAGCTTTTTGATACTGTCAATTGAATATATCACAAATTGCAATTCTTACAAATTACAATATTTATTAATTGTAATTTTGTTATAAAGGAGTAATTTTTATAAACGTCATTGATTCTTAGCGATAATTACTTTTCTCGTTAACGATGCTTGTGCGCAAACCGATGCATGACAATAAGTAAAAAAACGGCGAACAGTTTAATCATTAGCCTTGCCTTACTCTTGAGGACTAACATTCTCTCTTCCCTTGTGTTACGCTGTGTGGATTCGCGCCGCGTTTCCTACCCACATTAGGGCGAGATGATAGATCGCATAGAGTACCACGTGGAACACGCGGTGGACTACGTGCAGACAGCTACGCAGGACACCAAAAAAGCACTCAAGTATCAAAGCAAAGCCCGACGGGTGAGTCCTCCCCAGATATCACGCCTCGAAGTCATTTCATTCGTGTCTAATTTGTCACTCTTGTTTTTTTTTTCTTCCTACTATTCCTGCACCCCCTACTCTCGGCATCTCTTGAATCCCCATTTTGTGATTTTCACCTCGTTCTCCTCATTCCCCTTTTCTATTGAACCCGCTCTACTTATGTTATTCGCTTCTATTGGTACATATCTCGCTGCAATCTGTATTAATCGATGTACATGTACTCCTCACTTACTCGCCTCTCTGCGCGTAAACAATTAATGACGGAACTTTCTTTCTGTTTATTTGTGTATGTCACTTTGTCGATTGTTGGTATTCGCGTAAATGATATATATAAATGTATATATCTATATTATACTATATAAAACAACATACATACATATATATGTATACATATGCTGTTATATGTATGTGTGTTATATTCTCTCGCTCTCTCTCTCTCTCTCTCTCATTTTTCTCCTCTTTACATATAACTATACATCACTCTCTGTACTCTGTCGAAACATGGGTGTGCTAATTGTGTGCCTCTGTCCATTAACTGCTCTCTGTTTACTACTATTACTTATACTATTAACCTTACGTATTAATCTCTATGCTGTTGATACTAATATGGGTATGTGTGTGACTGTGTTGTTGTAAAAAATATGATGGTGTGTATGTGCCTGCACATACATACGCATACGACGCTGGGAATATGGCATTCTCTTGCTGCGGGGATGTTGCTTCTCTCTCTCTCTCTCTCGCCACATTATTTGTACATAAATGTAATCCTGGGTACATATGTCCCCGAGATTGTTTCCCCTCGGCGAGCAAACCTGGTCCTATCTCGAAATCCTCCATCTCCTTCCTCTCATGTCCATCCTGATCTCGAGTTCCGTCCTTTGTCCCACGTGTGGTATGGCAGGGTGAAATGATGGACAGCATTGAGTACTGCGTGAATCAGACTGGCGATCACGTCGGCCAGGCCCGAGGCGAGCTGATTAAAGCCGAAGAGTACCGAACGAAGGCTCGTAAGGTAAAGAACATCAGACACCAAACACAATTGAAATAGACAAATCTGTTTTCTGCATAACATTGAGAGATGAAAAAGCTTTTCGAGACAAGGAGCAGATTTCGCGAGTTTCGGATCAGCTCGATCGACATAAACGTTGTTGACTCGTGATTAAATTTACGAATAAGTTGGTTGATTCTTTCACTTTTCTTAAAGCGTTATCGAAAAAAATACATTTTCTTTTTCTTTTGTTTATCGACATCGCAAATTTTGTGAGATAATAATGTCTTTGGAATTCTTCGAAGAGTTGTCTTTTCTCGTGATTCAACTCAAAAGATTTATTGAACATCTCTGAAGTATAATATTCGCGATAAGGAATGGTTTCACTTGGCGGCATTCATCAAAAGATGACATAGCGAATGAATAAAGCCCAGTGGAAAGGAGCAAAAAGGAATAAGTACGTTGAATGACGGTTCGAGAGAATTCATTTGAAATTTCATGAAATGCGACGGCAAACTTGAAAATATTATCACAGAGTAATATTTTTCTTTTACATTGTTATCATTTCCTTTTCTCTGCGTCGCGCTGTCTTCTCGTAAAATCTTGACCTCTCCATTACCATTATGATTCTCAAAGTGAACATTTTCTTGGAAATGTTTCACTTGATCGTATAACAATATTGGTCGATAAATGTTAAAAATATCAAGAAAACTTACCGCGATTTAATAGGAAATATCTCTAGGAAAATATGAGATATATGCAAAACATACAAAAATCTCTATAAATGTAAACGCAAAAAATCATTGGGTGCGTTCCGGCGAACTATTAACATCAACGCCACAATAGGATGTTCATGGAAAGAAGGGTCATGCTGTGCATTTGGTGGGATCAAGTCGGTGTCGTGTACTATGAGCTGCTGCAACCATCAATGGTGAATGCTATCGACGTCAATTACTCAATTTGAATCGGGCACTCAAAGAAAAATGCTCGCAATACGCCAAAAGAGCATGATAAAGTTATTCTTCTCTATGACAACGCTAGACCACATGTTGCACAATCAGTGAAGGTAATCTTGGAGGCACTTGGATGGGGATGTCTTACCTCACCCGCTCTATTCACCAGACGTTGCTCCATCAGATTACTATTTGTTTCGGTGCAGCATGGTCTTTCTGAGCAGCATTTCAGTTATTTCGAAGATATTAAAAAATGGCTCGATGACTGGATTGCCGTGAAAGAACCTGAATTTTTCTACCGCGGAATCCATTTGTTACCCGAAAAGTGGGAAAAGGTTATAGCTTTCGATGGACAATATTGTGAATAAAATATCAGGTATCTTTTTGATAGAATAAGCACGAGTTTTTTTTAGTAAAAAACAGCGAGAATTAATTCAAGTATAGAATACAATAATATGATTGATAGGAGGTATCTTCTTTTCCACATATCTTGTCCTCGCATGACGTTGGCGATCAGTAGCATAACCTTCACTCTATCGTTGTTTTAAAGAGAGACGTGGTGAGTCCAAACCACTGTCGAAGATTTTTTAGCCATGGTATTCTCCTCTCGGCTATTTTGCCTTGTATTGTAAGATGCAAAAATTAATACTTCTGTTTACGTATCACATGCCCGAAATACTCCAGCTTCGTTCTCTTGATGGTGTCAAGTATCTCATATTTCTTCTTCATTCTTTGGAGCACGTTCGTGTTTCTTACTCTATCAATCCAGGATATTCTTAGCATTCTGCGATTAGTCCACATTTCAAAAGCTTGTATTTTCTTACAGATTGCTTCAGTAAGGATCTAGCCCATACAATAGAATATTGAAAACGTAACACTTCAGCAGCCGAACTCGCAGCTCTATGTTTAAGTTCCGGTTGGTCAATACCTTCCTCATTTTTCGAAACACATTTCTATCTTACTGCGAATCTCTTGGGTCATATCCCATCTCTAATTCACTTACCATTCAAGATAATTATAAAACGGTACTCGTTCGACACTTTTGTTCCCCATCTGGAGATTTCCCAGTGGGATTTGATTTTTACTGACGACTAACCATTGACGATAACAAATTTGAGAGAAATATTCTAGTATTAAAGATGATTTAAAAAATATCTCGATCAAGATGAAATTGCTGAAATTCTTTTTTGCTCCTGAAATAATTCCCTTCGTCTCTGATACTACCTACGATCAGGCACTTCGCATCGAGTGGGATCCGAACCTTGTTTCTTGTGATTGACTTTCAATTTTGTGTATAATATAATTGCATTCATGCTCTCTCTAATTATATCACTGTTTTTTGTGTTTGCGACAATAGTGTTTCGCGAATAGTAGTAGATATAACAAATTGTGGCATCGCGGTAAAAGAGATGAAGTGTAATCGAATAGTACATGAAGAAATGGATGCACTTTTCTGTAGATTAACACAGAAACTATGTAATAAAATAGGGTAGCGGATGAACAAGTTTTTATTATCGGGTAGAATGGTTTGGTATTTGTTACTAATTATAGTTTGTGAACGCACCCGCATCATTAGTTGTATGTGGAATGTGCTTGATTATGTTTGACAGCCAGCTCACCCTCTCTTTTCCTAAAAGTTATTATCAACACTTTACATACTCTATATATTCTACATACATTTATAATCACTATTTTTAAATCATATATATTATTTTACTTCCGTATAAATTGAGTGTAAACCCAAAATATTTATTTATTTTTTAAATAATTTTAATAAGAGCAGTAGAAGGTAATTATTTACCACAAAGAATCCAGTCCCGACGACTTTAATCTTGATATGTTGTTAAAGTTAAAATTATCAAGATTAGTTTCACTGTAGTAAATAATTATCAAAAATTTACTTTTCTTTGGTATATTCTCAAGGCATTTGTGCATATTTTATTAAAATATTAGACATCGTTGGGCCTCTTAATCAAATGTTCAGTTTTTTCTTTCTTATCGGAATTTATACTCGCAAAACTATGTAATTTTGCGTCACAATAAAATTATTATCGTTATTTAGCTTAAATTTTGTTGTTATTTTATTGTTATTCTACTAATTGCTGATCTTTTTCCTCGCATTTTAACCATTTTATTTACGAATTAATATTAATTAACAGAGAAAGTAAACATTTTTAATAAAGCATTTCTAGCAAAGTAAAATGTACAGATACGCATTGGGAGAAATAAGATTTTTCTCTTTTTGTCTTTTTAATCATTTGTATGCGGTGATGCAAGTCAGCATGAACCAATACGTAAATTACGTACTCGCTTTTTACATTCTTTTTTTTTTTCCACCGCTTCTTTTCCCATAAGTTTCGTGTTTTGATTTCCGATTCACTGCACTCGTACAATTGAAAAGTTTTGTTCTTCTCTTTCTTATTTCGCCGTCACTGAAAATATATTTCATATTTTATTTCTCTTTTTACTTTTCCAATTTTCGAAGGTATTTTCGTGTTGCTTACTTATACAATTTACTTACGAGGCCCGCTACGTAATGTTATTTCGATACCTCACGACTAATGTCTTTCCTCTTTTTGCGATTTCTTTAATTCTTTATCGACGTAGACGTATATGGGCATACCTTATACGTGGTCTTCTCTGCTTTTTTGTCCACAGAAAATGATCTTCATCATAATCTGCGTCCTAATATCGGCGGTCATACTAGTCGCCATAATAATAGGATGCCTTCCGAGAACCTAAATGGCCGAGGGGGGGGTATTTTTTGTAGAGGAAGGAAGGGTATGGGTGTGAAACAAGGAGAGTTTAAAAGTTTCGAAAGAGAAGGTAGAAAAAGAAAGGGAAGTGCAACGCGACAGTAAAAATGTCGTAATAATAAAGTTAATAGTAGAAATATAACAATAAAAAAGTAACAATAATAATATATGCAGAAACTTAGTTGCGATCAACTTGGGGAGAAACGCATGAGATCGGATGTGCAGTGTAACCAGAAATTTCGAGGTAGGGGGGAAAGGAATAAATGTTGGGGAAGAATTGTGGTGCATGGAAATCGCTTAGAGTTGTGAACGTATCTTTAAAGCCGTACTAAACCGAAAAGACAAAAAGGGAAATAGAAATGCTAATAAAATGGATGTCTCGCGCCGATCCTAATAACATGTTTCTCCGTAATCTTACGCCGATAATCCTTCGACTAATCTCTGTAATAAACGACTAATTAACGTAATAATCTGCACCATCCGTTCATTTCATTAATAGTAAGTACACTTCATTACACCGCTCGATGTTCCTCCGGATCGTGAATGTCTTAAATCGACGACGTGATCTCGTAATTTCGGGGTACCCGTCTTGTCAGTTTTACTTGTGCAAACAATCAATAATTGTGCTTGTGATTAACCGCAGAAAATTGTGAAGATGTGGAACCCAGTTTCTCTGGAGGAAATTCGAGATGATTGTCGGCAATTTTATTGCAGATATACATTCGTCATTTGTCATTTATTTGACAAAAAGTAACCAAATTTTTGTTCCGTACTTCGAGATATATGAAATTTTAATTCGAAAAATAATATATTTAACAATACTTTGATTCAAGTTTTTTCTATTTATTATGTATATTTGTGTATATGTGTAATATATACCTATATACATATTATATACTGTGTATATATGTTTATATAATATGCTTTTATTGAGCTGGGGGTTAAATAAATTCGTTTGGTTTTTTAAGGTGGAACAAAACAATTTTATACACATTCTATTTTCAAAATAGAGAGAATTATCAATTATATAATACTATTTTAATACTATAATTAGAGCAAAGTTTCAACATTAATTATACGGAATTAAGAATTCCGCTTTTTTAATGACGGTATGATGACTTTTAACGAAATAAGCAATCAATATTGGAATGCTTTTTTATTTAATTCGTGAGTAATTCAGTTAAAGAATCGTAAGAATATTTTTTTAAACAAATTTTGAGGGAAAATTTGAAGCTTTTACATATCGAAGAGTTTGAAAATTTTTACACATTTTTTTAGGCACATGACAGGGAATAAAGAAAAAACTATACGTGCTCTGAGAAGAAAACTTTGTTTTTCTCAGAGCACTTATAATTTTCTATAATATGTAAAAATTACCAAATTTACGTAAACTGAAAAAATATAACAACTTTCTGAAAGTAGTAATTTCAAGTTTAAAAATCTCCTTTTAAAATTTGAATTTGGTTCATTTTTAACTGAAATATTATATTAGTTTAAACTAACAAAACTGAACGAACTTATTTGCCAAACCAATTATATTTATCAAAATTCGATGAGGCACGCGTATGTACGTACGTGAATATATTAAATATCTTCCAAATTTGTTGCATTTAATTATATATATATATATATATAAAAATTCTGTAAATAATCCGAATGCTAAATCCAAAATTTGCAATTTGTTCATAATATTAGTACATAAATGTTTCAAAAACCTATAAAATTTCTGTTAGCAAAGTATTAATTCATATTACTTGATGGACTCAAAAATGGCGAAGAGAGAAGTCTGGAACGTTCTGTGGTAACAATATCTATTAGTCTTTGAATAAAAACAATAAAAAGTGAAAAAGATACCAGAAGAATATTGTCAATACATATTTGAAAGGCAAATGCTGGATGAATGCGAGCGTAGTAAATAACGTTTATAGATGCTCTTTTAATTAAGGATCTGTCTAATATATAATTAAATGCTCGAAATTGGAACTAACATTTCATCTCGAATGTTCATCCAAAGGCGTTGCGATTTCAGTTCAATCTGCCATTTCGTTTCATCTTCTTTTTTTTTCATTTTTGCTTTGTTTTTTTTTCAAGCGATCATGGAATTATTTTATTTTACAGAAATTGTTCCTGATATCGATCTGTGTGACGATAGCAGTCATCATTCTGATAATCATTCTGGCAGTTAGTTTAAGTTAGCTTAAGCATGCGCACGCGACGTTAGCGAAAAGAAATGAACACATTCGCAGAGTAAGTTTGACGGAATAAAGGGAAAAAATAGAACAAATCGCGGGACGGGACAAGTATTTTGAATTGTCGAAATATTTGTCATTCCTTTCTCGTCTCTCCTACAGAAAGCCAAAATCGTATAACAAAGATCAACGCAGACCACGTCCATCTTGAATCCTCGCCGGGAAATTCGGATACGCATCACGCGATACAATCTCGAGGTATCATCTATGCAAGATCGTTAAGTTTTTTTATTATAGAATTTTACTAAATTTTACGCGTGTTTTTACGTTTATTAGTCGTAAAGAATTTACTTCGCATTCTCATGATTATTCTAACTGCGGTAACCAATGTGTTATATATCGAATGTGATATACGATAATCAAGAGCCATCGGCATCGTGCGGTTGTAATTTCCCGGAAAAAAAAACGCCTCGATGGACATCGCGAACGTCATAATGCTAGAGTAGAAATTAGAAACGGAGATAAAACGTGCGTTATGAATCTGGATTACGCGAAGCAAACTATAACTTTATTAGCAAAGACTTGCAATCAAGTTCCTTTTAATGCGCCTCAATACATTGGAAAACGCGTAAAATCGCGATATTAATTTTTTATTACATTCTTTCGAAAAAAAAAACTCTTACTGATTGCAAGGAAAAAATCGATACAAGAGTTTGTATAAATTTGCAGAGCGACAGTTCTTGAAATTAAAACAGATATATACTTTGTATATAATGCTAGTACATAGTACTTGTACAATTAAGTACATTTTTACACAACAATATTTATTTAAAATGCGTGCACTGCAAGTTTGCGTGAAATCGTAGAAATGGAGTTAAGAATCGTCGTGAAAAATGAACGAGATTGGTGTTTTTCTTTGGAATGGAATGGAAATTGATATGCTATCATTAATAGCTTTTCCTCGCATTTAGGCGTATCTTCGCACTGCCTTTTGTTATTTTTTCCCCACTTTTATTATTCTTTCCATTTCGTCGTTCTTAATTCAAGCTCTGACGTGAGCAAGTAACAATAACGGCGATTACACAATCGAAAATCATGCACGCATGTATACAAAATCGAACACACGCGCCCTTTTCTAAATCGTCTTCAGACAGAAGCTCGCCGTCGATTTGATACGAAGTGCAGCGACAGGAAACTGAACTATTCGTGATTATCGTATCTTTTTCTATATTTATCACAAACGAATATGGATCTTGATTATCGTGTCACTGGAGAAGATATTATTAAATATCAGCAATCCGTAAAACAGTTCAGAATCACTAAAATAGACTCAACGTATTATATTTTATATCCAGAATTCTCACTTTCGTAACCCCATTTTTTTAAATGAATTGAAGAAAATTAAAATATGAAGCGAAAATGATCATATTAAGTTTAATTTAAAAAAAAATCTTCGTTCGTTAAACTTTTCCAATTTCATATTGGATTTTCTCAAAGTCGATTAAGAAAATCTAATTTAATGTACGAAGCGCTTTGGGCGAACATCTGGAGCGCAGGTACAACGAGCGCGAAAATATTTGACTTGGAATTATCAATCTTCATTCCTGTTGAAGATTACACGGTATTTGATGTCGACGCAAATTGTTTGTTGTCGCCGCAGATTCGTTTAATATATATCATTAAGTTAGCAATACTCTTTAGATCAGACCTATCCAACGCTTTATTAAGCGAACTATAAACGCTTTCGCCTCTCGTTAAGTAAACCTTCGGTTTGCGAGTAAAATGTTGGATACGCCTGCTTCGAATAATAGACAAGACAATTTGAATCGGCGCGGGCGGCGCGAGTCGAGTTCGACGCTTCCGTATTTGTCCCAGAACTGATTGATCGTTTCTGTGCGAAATGTAGCAGAGACGCTATCTTTTTCATATCGCATACTGTAGTCCTCGTCTGAATGCGAGAATTTTGTGCTCGGTCGAGATATTAATAATCTGCGTGATGGCGACGTGTTTCGCGATACGTATGTATATTTCAATTATGAATAGATACCGATCACCTGAACTTTAATCATTACTGTCGTTGCAATGCAGACCGCACGACACGGTATTTATATGTACAATGCCCGCAGAGCATTGTACATATAAATAATCGTAATTTGTATAGAGCAGATAATAATAATAACGAGATAACGAAAAAAAAAAAGAGTAACAATATTAATCATTAATGCGCCTATAGTGTGTATGCATGTATGAGTACACACACACACACACACGTGTGTGTGTGCACGCGCGCATGTGTAGTAAAACTTTTTTTCTCTTCGGATGTATTCAGCGTAAAAATAAAAAAAAAAGAAACGGTTATACATAGATAGGAGAACGGCGGTATGGTATGTCTTTTTCTCTGTCATCTTTATTATATTTGCTGCCTCGCGGAAAAGGAAACGAGAAGGAAACTGTTGGGTAGTAACAAATCATAGGTGCAAATAAAATGAGATATAATGTAATTAGCGCTGATAATAGAATTGTGAAAATAATAGAATTTACGTCGCGTTTTATAAAAGATATAAAAAAAAAGAAAGGAACATCAGTGCCGTTCGATAGAGAATTCACGGATACCAGATATAAATTTCCTCGGTGGAGATCGCTGCTGAAGACAAGGAGAGAGAAAAGCGGAATGAGATAAAATAGAAAAGAATCTTGTTGAGAAGCTGCACGAAAACGAGAGAAAGTTCTTGGAAGATAATAGACATTAACGACGTCGAATAATGAAGGTCTGTATTCCAACTTTTTTCAGTTGATACTGATCTCTTTTGATCACTCTTTTAATTTCTATTTTATTTCTTTCTATTAGATGTAACAGAAAGATTATGAGATTTTATTATTGATAATATCATGAAAAATGTTTTTACATTTTAAATACGAATAAAACAGTGTTAAGAGTCGATGATTGATTACATTCTTTTATGCACAAGGCCGTTCCAGCTTTTTCGCATTTTTTTATCATATCTCTAAATTTTTTGATCAATTAAAAAATTTTTAAGTGATTTTTTTTTTCTTAGTTAAGATTTAAGGTCGTTTCTTTTATGACAAATCAAAATTTTTTCTATATAAAGCTCATTTATACTTAAAAACTATTTTAATTTTTAAACATTATATAGCTGTACCCAGACAGCATAGAACCCATTGGACATCCAGACTTGGTTTCAATTTGATCCATGGACTTAGTATGAATGGTTTAAAAACGTACGTTGTCCAACGTACAAAGTATGTTTACATTTGAACATTAAAAAAATGTTTTTCATGCAAAAAATTTTCTAAGTCTGCTCGTGACGTGTTGCTTTCATTTCTGGATTGTGGTCTAAAATTTATTTAATATATTAATTTAGTTCAGTTTTTTAGTCCATTGCATCCTAAAATGGACGTTTTCAAGAAGTCCAAAATGGTAACGCTGAATATTTTTAAAACGTTTTTAAAATATCCATGGATCTAATCTGGATGTTTTTAATATATCCAAACGTCCGACATGTACGTTTTAAATACATTTTTTAAACATTACTGTGCTGTCTGGATATTGAGAGAGTATCACAGAACACAATTTTTTATCGAATTAAAAATGGTGGGTTTCGTACCAAAAGAAGAGGATTTGCGAAACTTTTCTGTTTTAACCTCAAGAAATCTGCAGCTGAGAGGCATCGTTTGCTAGTGGAGGCTTATGGGCAGCATGCTCTATCTGAAACAACTTGCAGAGATTAGTTTAGAAGATTTAAAAACAACGATTTTGACGTGGATGACAAAGAGCGTTCAACCGAAAAAATTTGGAGATGGAGGCATTACTTCAAGAAGATTCACGTCAGACGCTCACAGAGTTATTGAAAACATTAAATGTCGATGTGTCAGCCGTTAGCAAAGCTTGTTTAAAAGCAATGGGAATGATCCAGAAGTTAGGAAATTGGGTCCCACATGAATTGAGAGAAAGAGACATTGCGAAACGTTCAGCCATTTGCGAATTGTTGCTCCAAAGACAAAAACGGAAGTCGTAACTGGCGAATCGAATTGTAACTGGCGATGAAAAATGGATTCGTTACGACAATCCTAAACGCAAGAAATCATGGGTGCGTCCCGGCGAACCATCAACATCAACGCCAAAACAGGATATTCATAGAAAGAAAAGGTCATGCTGTGCATTTGGTGGGATCAAGTCGGTGTCGTGTACTATCAGCTGCTGCAACCATCAATGGTGAATGCTATCGACGTCAATTACTCAGTTTGAATCGAGCACTCAAAGAAAAACGCCCACAATACGCTAAAAGACATGATAAAGTTATTCTTCTCTATGACAACGCCAGACCACACATGTTGCACAATCAGTGAAGGTAATCTTGGAGGCACTTAGGATTTCTTACCTCACCCGCCCTATTCATCAGACGTTGCTCCATCAGATTACCATTTGTTTCGGTCGATGCAGCATGGTCTTTCTGAGCAGCATTTCAGTTATTTCGAAGATATCAAAAAGTATCTCGATGACTAGATCGCCTCGAAGGAACCCGAATTTTTCTACCGCGAAAAGTGGGAAAAGGTTATAGCTTTCGATGGACAATATTGTGAATAAAATATCAGGTACATTTTTGATAAAATAAGCATGAGTTTTTTAAAGCAAAAAACAGCGAGAGTTAATTCAAGCTCCTAATACGTTTTACACATTAAAGATAAGATTATTAAAATTAAAAACAAGTAACAAGTTAAAGTTACTTATTAGAATTATATCATATCCTAACTGATGAAGCAATTAATTTAAAAATCGGAACTGTCTACACGTTGTGAGAGTAACTCAAAATTCAGTTGTTTCTATTGGAAAGTTTGATTATTTCTGTTGGATATATATCACAGTTACATACTCATGCATCATTTTTTACGCAGGCCACTGTAACGTGCACCGCCCACGCTGGCAACGAGTAAGATCCAATTTCTTTCAGGTATTTTACGACATAATCGATTGATGAGTGAACAATTGCAATTTGTAATGTAATAACAATGGACAGAGAGCACACAAACGTGATTTCGAATTTAACAGACAGAATAGGAGACAGATGAAGATAGTGAAAGGGGGGGTAAAGTAGATGTGAAAATAAAGAAATTTAGGAATGAGTTTAGGCGAGAGAGACAGAGTGAGAGAGGGGGAGATGGGTGGGAAGGGGAGGGGAGAGACAGACAAAAAAAGCTTTATAATAGCTTTATAATATTAAACTTTATCGATCTCTGTTAATGCCGACTACAGAAGAAGATCATGATCATGATTTGCCTCGCTGTATTGGGCGTTGTCGTCGCTACCACCATCGGTGGATATTTTGGACTGTAAATGCCAGACCAGGTACGTGTTAAAACGCGTGATATTTGATATTTTATTGTATTAGGAATGTAGATAACGGTAAGAATATATGCAAATAGCCGTTTTATTAATGCATGTAGTCGCTGTGATTTTTTATTACATTACGTTATTTACGTATTTGCTTAGTGTTATGTCGAAATAATATACATCGATATGTACACTTATGAATTAAAAAGATTGCAACATTTTTTTTTAACAGGTTGGCAGTTTTCACATCCTGAGGGATTGGTTCTTACTTATGGATCCATAAATAAGAGCCATTCGCTCGGTGAGTAGGCTACATTCCCAGACCTACCGAAAAGAAATAGTAGTAGTAGTAGGAGTAATAAAATAGCAGATAGGGCTTTAAGAGCCCTCAAGCGTGACCTTTAAGGTTCCATTGTCACTTCCTGCCTGTTCCTTACGTCACGCAGTCAGGCCCAATGTCGCGTACTAGGCTTATTAGACTGCTGACCTTCGCTTTTTCTAGATTCCTGGGTGTCATGAACATACGTCCCCAGGTTCTATATCTCTTACAGGAGAGCATAGAGCAGCGGCACAGTAAATGCAAGCTGTCCTCGCTTTATTATTCCAGTCCTTTCTAGCCGGTACTTCGACTTTGAAGGTCTTCTCCAGCTGGTATTTTCTAGAAATCCTGTCTTGTTTCAACGTGAAGAGGTGTTTATCAGAGAGTCTCAGTCTTGTGTATCCAAGCCTGTTTTCTCTCCACCCACCCTGACACTTCAGTCTGTATGCTGTTTGTCTGGCTGTGAAGATGACTTTGGTCGTTCGCTTCCAAGGGAAGCCACCCCCGAGCATACTTGTTCGAAATTGTTGATTATTTTTTCTTTCGTGTTCTCCATACGTTCCCACGAGTACCGCGGTTGCGCGATTTCACCCGGGCAGAGCCGCGAATGCCCGGGGCTTGGCTACGTACTCCTGGAGGTTGCCCTGTATCCAGGAGTCGCCGTTAACGACGCAACTCCCCCTGCGCCACGCAGCTCCTGGCACGGTAGCTCACACTCTAGCTTGACGAGTTTCTCGTAGTTAGCCACCCATGTGCTCTCCCCTGAGCGGGAGGACCTCGCAGACAACCGTAAGCCCCGCCATCCGCCGTGACACGGGAACCCGCAGCACCCAAGAACGCCTGCGCAACTCTAAGTGGTCGAGTATTTTGTAAATACCTAGAGTTCTTGATACATAAAAAACATTTTTGAAGAATATTAAAGTTTTAAAAAAATAGTAGAAATCTTTGAAAATTTTTTTGAGAGTACCGAGTAGTTCTGAGTAGCGTTTCTTATAGTTCTCGACGAGTTCTATCGAAAACTGTAAGGTGAAAAAGCGATTAGACCAACGGTTTGCAAGATACAGCGACATTTGTCAGAAGATCAACAATTTTTAAAGTGAGTATATCTCGGAAACCGTTGGTCCAATCGCTTTGAGCCCTAATACTTTTCGACAGAACTCGCCGAGAACTGTCCAGAACTCCGATCAGAACTACTCGGTACTCCCAAAAAATTTT